AAAAAAAAAAAAAAAAAAAAAATGGTAATTCTTTATCGTACGAGACTAATATGTGAAAGATGTGAGAGATGCTAGAATTATATCTAATCGATTGCTCTTGACGAGACATTAGCAAGAAACAGGAATAAATATCTGCAAGAATCGAACGTTCCTTTGTTTCTTGTTAAACTCGATGAGATAGAAATGAAGAATATTGAGAAATGCTAATTGTAATGTCCAGTGAGAAGATCTGTGGAGGAATCGAGCAATTTGCAAAGTGTTCGATGGTAAATTTAAGTGAATGATCCAGAGTAGATAATCTAGAGAGAATAAATAAGTCTAAAGAGAAAGGCCAGAGTAGAATAGAGAGGGAAAGCATTTTGTTTTGAAAATGTGAGAAACATTTTAAATATCGAATTTCGATCGCAGATCAAGCAAAATTGGCCTGCAAAGTTGAAGAAACCGACAATGCAGGTTTCGCAGACTCGAGAAAAAGTGAAGAGAATGCTTCCATCCGAGGTATAGTTACTAAATTGCATTGTCAACTAGATGACTGAAAAGCAGTATGTGCGTGAAACCTTCACCGAGACAACCTTCCTATTTATCGAATTATTGTGCATCCTATCTTGCTACTAAAGACTTCAATAATCACTTACTAAAAAGTACAACGTTGAGATCTCAACTCAATTGCTTTAAAGTAAAAATGATCGTACGTTTCTGTCATTGCTCTAGAACTGAGAGAACAAATCCCACGTATATATTTTTTTTTTTTTTTCAAAATTTCCAAAAATATTAAATATCATATATTAATATCATACCATTTTTATTTTTTTTGGTTTAATTAAATATTGGTACGAGAGTTGAACGAAAAGTCATGCTTCCGAGTTTATAATTTTAGTCTGCTAATTGAAAAGTAGAAAACATTCAAACAGTGACGAAATGATGACTATACGACGCAGTCTTCAACTAACAAATTACAACTGAACGCGAAGTCGAGCAAAGCCCGCACGATTTCCACCTTTTCTGAAATCAAAGCGACACATCTTCAGTATTCGACGAATTCTGAATTCTGAAGAGCAAGCTGCAAGTATTATCTTCCATTTCGTCACGAAAGGAAGTTATAAAATCGGAAGTTGATTTTTATTTAATTCTCGCCCTGTCAAAGTTTCAATGGTTGTCTCTGTGGTTTCTAAAATACTTGCAGCTAACACTAACTAGCCACTTAGTGTCGTGTAGTCCGCTTTCTTTTTCGTATGCCTTACGATGTACACAAACGTGTGTACATTACAACATAATTAGGCAAATAGTAACGTGATTGCGTATATTTGTGATTAGATTAGCTTTTTCTACCGATGATTCAATCCTGAGCCAACATGCAGTCGCAGTTAAGGCTTTCAGAGCTAAGGCAAGCAATTTGCCAATTTGCTGTGTTTCATAATTATGATAAATAAAACAGCGTATGTAATTAGACGAAGTTGCTTTTTTTTAAGCTTATTTATCATTAGGTATTCATAAACTATTATTTATAAGTGTTATAACAGCATAATACCTATGTATTATGTATATTATGTATACTATGCATTTGGAATTTATTTATTGAAAATGACAGAAAGTCAATATTTAATTTGATCTGAAGAATGATATTGAGCCGATAAATTAAATACTTAGTAAATCGATTTCAGAGACTTGACACGTACATGTACAGGGTGGTAAGAAAAGTTTGTCCTATTATCAAGATCAATTGCGTCCTGACAGCGACTTTGGTCCTGGATGGTTCTGGACGCGTGGATGTCTATATTAATGTTTATATTTCGAATAATATTAGCAGTAGACTCACGCTGATGCCACAACTATGATAAATCAAATGTTAGTGAAACCTAATCCAGAACCATAAAGTCGCTGTTAGCACTCACGCGTCCACGGTAAATTAAATGATTAAAAAATCTTGTTCGCCATTTTTCAAGAGAGTTATTAGGTTGCTTGGAAAAGATTTACCTCCGCGACGAGTAGAGTACAAGGCAAAAGAAAAGACAGAAAAAAATCTTTGACAAATTTTTGATCGGAGAATTCATCTATGATAATCACGGACAAACTTTTCTTTCCACCCTGTACACAATCAAAATTCTTAATTTACTTTTATTCGTTCGAGTCGGGATCGAGGCTTCAATATTGTACGTAAACGTAGCCTTGCTACGATATTAATCGAGACTAATTGCAAGTAAGCCGCTGCTGGCTTACTTACATTTGTCAATTTCAGTTGATTCAGCGACGAGCGTAGAAACTGGCGACGTACAACCACGCGATTCTTTTGTTAAAAAGGTATCCAACTTAACTGGCACGACGATCCTAACACGCAACAGTCTAGAATCCATGGATCCGTCAAAAAGACCTTGGTATATGAAAGGAGGGACCAGAAGGCCTTACCCTGTCGTAAAATCCCATCGTACCGGAAGAAGATTGGCGCGTTTGTGGCCCGACGAAGACGCTTATGACGATCGTGTTACTAATCAAGTAAGCTTTCAGATCCACGCACACGTGCACACATTCATTAGCCTGTAGTGCTTTTAATTTAATTCAAAGTTTACCTTCAGTTAATTTAATTGATTATCAGTTTCTCGAATCCTGTTATGACCGTGAGCTTGAAGAGTATGTGCGACTATAAAAGAAACGATAAAAAAATAATTTCTTTTAAATTCATCGGTTAATGTCACAAGTGCGAATCAATTGATCCATTGAGTTTCATTTGACTTATTGTTAAAGCTGCCTGATACTAAATTTCAAGATCAGTAATAGCTATCAAATTAAAATTTGGATATTTGACATGATACCTTAAATTATTGAGGTGGTGATAAAAGCAATTGTCGAGGAATTTTCCTTCAAACAAGAAGTCGTGTGCCTTTTAATACGGATTGCCTAATTACGACTTTCTTCTGCAGGCTACAGCGTACTAAATAAGAAAATAAGAACATTGTGTTTCGCCGTCTCTTTCGAATTGCGCATAGCCGTGTACACATATACATACGTACATACATATATACAATACTTACGTATGTACCTTGCTTTTCACCCTTTCTTCCACGGCACAATGCAGTCTATTATTCGTCCACTATATATAGGGCAGCGCTCTGAAAAAGCACCGTGCACAATTATGAGTTTCGCATAATTATAATTTGTTCTCTTTATTACAACGTCATTTTGTCCACTGTTTCTTTAAGCATTTCTTTATCTCTGTCTAGTATAATGCTATTTATTAATTACAAGTACCTTACCAAGTATCTTCTCTGATTATGATGTATCTTATCTCGTGTGAAGCACCAATTTGTCGATCAA